GTGAATGTGTGTGAATGTGTGTGTGTGTGTGTAAGAGGAGATAGAAAGCAAGGTGAGCAGATTAAAGTAGTTTGTGAATAAACACTAGTGAAACACTTCAATATATTATATATATTATAAATATAATATATATATATATTTAATAGTATGAGAAGGGAAACAGTCGGTCTATAAATAATCTATTAGGTGTAACCCTAATGTGAGACACAATTAATCCAAATACTGAGTTTTGTATCAGTATCTACACTACAGATCATAAAGCCAAACCCAATGTCTGACAGGGACAGATGCACTACGACGCTATAAAGGCAAGGGTTACTCACACAAGGAAGTTGAAACTTGATCTAATCACAAAAGGTTTGGTGGAAAACACAGTGGCCTTTCTATGTAAAACAGCTGAAGAACTGAAGAATAATTCACAGCATGATCTTAAAAAAACAAACAGCTTCCATATGGTGCACCTGTGAGATGAGGGTGCTTCAGGTTGAAGAGAGCAGACCTCTCCTTCTTCCACACTTCTTCCTCAAGCTGCTGCTGGTAGTCATGAAGTTTGTCCAGGCTGGTGGCCTGCTGTGCTGACAAAGTCCTCTCAAACCAAACCTGCCGCAGAAACACGTACAGTGTGAAGGTCCCCACCACGAAACCGGCATAGAAGGAGAATCTGGATCCGAGGGCCTTCATGTTGGACCAGGGGGTCTCACTGTCAGTCGTTCAACTTGGCAGGTGCTGAAGAAGAGACGGAGAGAGACAGCATGGATCCGGATCTCAGTACAAGCGGCCTCAGAGGCGAGCTGTAAACTTCAGTCACACTCACCGCCACGGCACCGTGATAAGAGTGAGGGCTACTCCCCGTTTAAAGGTGTGGTTTACTCACCAGCAGTATCGCAGACACCATAGCAGCTGCACCGCCCCGCAGCTACTTCATCACAACGGAAAAATCAACTTTAAAAGCGAAAGCGTTGCCAGTTTTGAACACGACGTCTCGTTTTCTCTCTCTCTGAGCAACAACTGAGCTCAGCTAGCCGCACTCAAATGTTGCTAACAGTGATCCTGACACAGTATCGAGGGGCGCACAGCAACGCGCCAACTCAAAGACCTCCAGGAGAGACTAACATTAACATTAACTAATTATAAAGACCGTCTTCAGTCGCTGGATCCGGGCCTCGGCGCTGGGACAACTGGCGTCAGCTAACTGGCTGTTCCGTTATTTGACGTTAACTTCAGTGCTAACGGTAAGTTAACGAGCCTTCCTGTCCAACGTCACGTTACAACGTTAAATAACGGAAACGTTACAGTGAGCTAACGTTAGAGCCGAGTTGACTGAGCGGTTTGATGAAAATAACAAACAGACCGAAACACACATATAAAACTGTTCCACAACGCTGCACAAACTACTATAACGTTAACTTAACTTATCTGACTGCTGCTTTCCGTCCAGGAAAAAAACGGGTACTTCCGGTCAGGGATTTCAAAATAAAAGCACAGCGGTTGCTGGACAGACACGTGTCCTATAAACAAATATACAGATGTTGCAGATTATGAGAGTCGGTTAGCAAATATATGAATATATTTATTATTATTAAGATAGGGACACATTGTTACCCAAAATGTGACCAATAACCACACATTTTTAGTAACAACTCTTAAAATACAATATGTGAGTATGATTATCGATCAGAAGTTACCGATCGATAACTTCCACCCCGCTTTCATTTTAAAGCTATAGTACAAACTATATTTATTATTATGTATTTATATGTGATTATTATGTCTAATTATAATCCGATAATAATATGTCTTCTGAATTGGCAGATTTAATTTACAGTGCGGTGTAAAAGCTTTAACTAAAGCCTTAAAGCTGTGCCATGTTTAATCTGTCTCACTGCTTCTGTCAGTGTTTTGTTCAAGTTTCTCCAACGTTTCTCCAAGTTTTACTGTTAAAGCTCTTTTATTTTGACAAGTCTAGGTATGCTGCTTTTTAATCAGGACCTGGTCCAGTGTGGGCCGAGTGTGGAAAAAAACAGAGAAATCACCCCTTTGTTTTTGTTTTTTCGGGCATTTTCACAAATAGAATAAAAGTTTCACAGATCTGAAAATGTGTCTTAAAGAGTCTCTGGCATCTCAGGTGATGCTCACCATCTAGTGCAGTTTGACAAGTTTATAGTGTCTTTTGATCTGGACCTGGTCTGGTGTGTGTGTGTGTGGGGGGGGGGGGGAGTAAAATCGCCATTTTCTGCATTTTGACAAGTAGAATAAAGTTTTCACATATTTGAAACACTGTAAGTTAAATCTCCCTTGAATTTTCCCTTAACTGCCAACTTCAGCGTCATTAAAGCTTGCTAATATTAAACTAATTTTTAAAAAATCAACCGTATCCTGCTGCCTGATTGTTTGTGTCACAAACTTTACTTTAGATATATTTGCAGTATGTTTATCTAAAGCAGGAGACAACACAAATGTATAATCAGTGTTTAACATTAGAATATATAAAAATAAATCACTGGATGATTCCCAGAAGACTCCTATGGTATTTTTTTTATTTAAAAAGAACAGTGCTCAAAGACTTATATTTACAAGGCAGCGCAGATGGACCTTTGTCAGGCTATGAAGCCAATACGGTGTTCCTAAGTAATATAGCCCCATTCAAGATTAATAATGAACAAATCTTGTCTTTTATCCTTCTACTGTCAGTTGTCATGGTTTATGAATCATGTGTGCAGCTTAAGTGTGAGAATCAAAACGATTACTGCAGGGAAACATGAGTGTAATGGCACACCTGTGATTGTTAGGGACAGGTTAAAGGTTTTAAAACAGTAGTTTTTCCCTTCAAGTGACACGACAGAGCAGAGGCCTGTATCACAAACTCCAACGTAGCCTGGCTCTCATCGGGTTACCTGGCTTCACCAAGCCTACCGTTGGTCTGGATTTTCCCATCAAGCTCTGAATGTGTTTAAGAGACGCTATTAAAATGAGGCAGCTTTGACTATGGAAAACCTGATTCAAGTTCAAAGATAGCTTGCTAACTCACTAATGTCACCTTGTACATTAGTGAGTAATACAGGCCCCAGATAAGAAAAGGGCAAAATCAGTTCACTAAGTAAAGAAACAGAAGCTTTTTCTATGCTAACGCCTGTTTGATCTTGGGCCTTTGGACAATGGCTTCGTTGGAAAACAAAATGCCCCAATTGTGTGTCTGAAAATGTTTGTATATGACTTAGTCCCACAGTGAAATTAAGTTTCATATACAAGATTGCACAGTCACAAATCTTAACACATTTACTCAATTAACTTAAGCCCACTTAATTTGTGCTAATTACAACAAATCAATTCGAAAACATATTTACGCAGTAATTATGTACATGTTAAGCTCCAAGTTAACACAAATATTCACAAACTATACAAATTCAGCCCTTTTGAGAACACATCTGAAGGATCCTTAGAAAAGTTTTGTGTGGATTCATTATTTTGGTACGCAGAATCTGATTGACATTGTAGATTTCTTTGTTTGCCATTGCTAAATTAAAGTAAACATATGGAAGTTCTTGTCAGAAACAAAAGTACAGACTTAAGAGATTTATCATCCTACATTCTTTTAAGTGTTTTTCTTTTGAATCCCTTTAACACATGACAACCAAAGAGAACCCCACATTTTTTTTGTGGAACAATGTTAAACAAAAGAAAAGAGTTTACAAAACCTTTTTCTAAAAATATAAAGTGCCACAGCATGTATACAAACTGTAATCTAAAGTTGTGTTTACTGACAAATCGAATCATCAAACACATTGTGTTAGAATGCTTCAAAGTTGTATGCAAGTATTTGTCCTGTTTTTCATATCCAGACGCAATAATAATTTTCAGTAAACAGTAAATTGAACAACCTGCACAAACACTCATCCAGTTTGTTGAGGCATGCACGATTCCCCCCAGCTGTGTCACTTAAAGGAAAGGACTTCTTTGTATAAGACAAATGTACAGGTAAATAATAATTTAACTGTGGACACAGTGTGCTGCTGACAACTTCAGAACTAGATGCAAATATTCAGTGAAACCCACTGAAATATTTCTAAAAAGGTACATATTGTACATCACTCAGCTTTTCTAGCCATCTATCAAAACTGAATCCCATCAAAAAGGGGAAAATGCATAACTTCATTCAACTGCACAAGAACAGCTGAGATGTTGCGGGTTCATCGTGCAACATATAACTGATGCTTACTAAAGACACATATTGCCTATTCAAGACACACAGACACATTTTATGAATGTGCAAACAGGTGAGTTGATATTATCTGCCAGGTTTAATAGCAGTAATTGAATCATTTGGGCTCTTTTTCAAATTTGCGGCTGCACTTCAGAGTCCCCCTCCCTGCTGGTCTCCACAGGAGTTCATTGTCACAAAAGGTGCACTGAATGTACTGAATGATCTCATATATCCACGTCATCTGAGTCAGAGGTGCTGGATGACTGGGACTCCTCCTGGGACTCTCCCCACACAAACCTATAGTTGTTCTCCAACTCCTGCTGTCTCTTTTGCTCTTTGTAAACCTCTTCTGTGCCTCCAGTCTGTAAGATTAAGACAAAGGATTAAAAAACAACCACAACCTTTCTGATCTGTGGATTTGAGTTGCTAACAATTACAAAAAGAACCGAACCAACGTTGTTTTCCACAGACAAAAGTGTGGCGGCCCTCATGTTGATTTGCTGAATGCAAACACTCGCACACATGTTAGACTCCAGACAGTGTAGAAAAGGCCGACAGGAAACAGAAAGGTGTACTTGTGGTTTCCAACAGTAAGTGGGTATTAGTGAGGTGGTAAGCCACAAAGATCCTGACACATTTTGTCTTGCGGTCATTATAGCTGGTAGATAATTAGATACAATTACATTCTCCTATTTGTTCTCAGATAAGAAGACTAATATCACTCTCTCATCTGTTGACAGAAAGCAGCTGGCAAGCACGGTACATGCACAACACACACCCAGTAAGATCCAAAGGGACTCAATAAAAAGTCACTATCTATTCTCGAATTACCAGGAGATTTATGAGGAGCTCCCTAAAGGACTTTGTATCTTCTTCAGTCAGCCACTGATCACCTGCTTCCTCCGCATTTTTCCGCGTCAAGATCTTCACCTCAATTTTACCTGAAAAGACAAACAAGGAAAAAAGGAGGGCCTTCCCATTGAACACGTGCCAAGGTCAGACTAAGAAAACTGCACCACATGTTAAACAACAAATCATAATGAAGAATGGTACAAACACAACAGTGGGTGGAAAAGAAAGAACACACGGACTATACACCTTTTGTTTCCCTTTGTTTGTAAGATAAGCTTCAGCTTACTGCTGTCAGATTTGTTTGGCTACCATGATCTTTAAATCTTTAAATTACTTAAAGGGTCCCTGGTCTAATATCCAGCTACAACTTTTGGCTAAGCAGTTTGTTCTTCAGTTGAAGCATATGTGTTTAATTGCTCATAGCCTTCAACAGTATGAAAAAGTGTAGGAAACCCTTCAAACTATTTAATGATATGAAGCATCTTTTGAACAGCTAATCCTTGGGGGGAAAAATCTGACAGTTGATGTTGTTTGACAAAGATGAGAAGAGAAGCACAGAACTACTAAATACTGAAGATGGAAGAGAGAAAAGGCCGTGAGTGTTTCAGGCACTCCCCCCCCCTCATACCTTCTGCCTTCAGTCCTGCTTTCTCTAGCTGTTCTTTAACCACGTCCTTTATGTGCTGCCACTGGGGGTCTCCTTCGCCCATCTCCTGAACTTTGACCTCCCCATCAGGGCTGCTGCCCGTCTTATACTTAGTAATTTTGATCTTAACATGGTCGTCAGCCGCTTGGTCTGGGGTGACGAGACAAAAGAGGGACAAACAACACAGTTCACCTCAAAACCAATCAGCAGGGCCACAGGATGGAGGAGGTAAGAGCCAAAACACTGTCTGATAAGCATTACATTTCAGTTATTTCAAATTTCACCTACAGATACATTAATGGCAGCAGAGGAAAGGGCACTAACTAACCAAAAGAACTCAAAATATCAATCTGATAACATACGCTCTGATTTTTGCATTAGTCTAACTCCATGTGTGCGTCTATTCTGGGATGAAAGACGTCACAGCAAACATCGACATACAGATGAAACATGGGGATGATGGAGGCAGACACAGAGTGTGGCCACAGAGGGGGGCAGGTTGCCTGGTTACCTGGCTGCTCTGGAGCCAGGCTGGGGCTGCCCCTGGTTGGGTCGCTAGCTCTTTGAACTCCCGCTGTTTGCTGCTCTGGGTCCTGAACGTCTTTCTCTTCCAAATGATCAAGCAGCTTGTCCAGTGTCGTCTCCAGTGTCTGTGTGGCCTGTGTGCGATCAAACTCCCCTTTCAGACCTTCTGTCTCCAGTTCTTGTTGGGCCTGTGACACAGAGAAATGTCAGTCACGTCAAAGCCTCACGTCACATAACCTTCGAGTATTTCATTGTGTCAGATCTGCCCCAGTAACATTTTAATATATATTCATCAGTCTTATTGTCTCTAGTCTGGAACCTCATTTATGATGTTGTCAAACTCCTTCTGCATTTCTTCCTTTATCTCTTCAATCTTATCCGAGGGCACTGAGATGTCGGACATCTCATCCTCAAACTCCTGTAGCAGGTGTTCATCTTCATCTTTCTCTTCCTCGCCAAGCTTCTCTGTTACCCTGTCGCTTGTTGGTTTCTCTGCTCGACTCTTGGCTTGATTTTGGGCTTTCTAAAAACAGAAAAAAATTCTGTACTGAACTGGAATACCCATACGCCTCGATGAAAAAGAAACATACGCCAAGATGTGTACAAAAAACTATCACAGTAATCTTGGACTGACCTTCCTGTTACTCTCTTTGAGATGCTGGACAAATTTCATCAGGTCTGCTGGGTCAGTAATGATTTTAAAGTTGAATTTTTCAACTGAAAGACATTCATTTGAAGAGAGACATTTCTCCAAGTTTAACACTGAACAACAAGAGACACAAATGTATGACAAAAGTACTCCATTTGGACATATCAATCAAACAAATCCAATAACATGACTGCAGGTAAACAAAAGACTCTTTTAAGTTTTTAAGGTTTCTATTAATCTTGTTTGAGGCTCTCTGAAGCAGCGGGACATTAAATCAGCTGTTCCGTACAACAGTGACCATAATGATCATAAATGGCATTGGTCTTCCTCAAGAGCAATAAATTACCTTCATCTCCATCATCTATGACTTCATTGTCGGTAAGTGAGTTGTGGCTGTCATCTGCTGCCCGTGCCTAGGAAAAAGAAATCAGATTAGAGTTGTGAAGTAAAGAGGGAAACCTTCCCCATCTAGTGGTTGGGATCTGGCATTTAAAAAATATATTACAAGTTATTGGAAAGCCTCTACGCAAAAAATAATACATCTTTTAACATTATTACAGTAGCTGGTGATTAAAACTGATTCCAAGACGTATTTCTATACCTTATTCTCCTGTTGAGAAGCAGTTGTTTTTGAACTCCCTGGCTTTGTAACTCCCTCCCAGAAGTCAGAATCTTCTCCCTCATCTGACTCGGCATCCTCAGAAACATCAGCAGTATCTGTTTCAAAATAAAAGCACACACTCATGTCACACAAGTTTACATATGACATGATGGAAAACACCCAGTGGATATTTTTATTTAGTGACAATTTACTACAATACTTTGAAGGACATCTGCACCTTTTCTGTCTGACTGGTTTGGGTCATCACTGGATGCAGGTGATGTCTCGTCTGCTGTCACTTCCACTGCTCCATCTGCCCCTTCATTACCAGCCAACATCTCATCAAGACTCCTCAGCTCCTCTGAGATCTGCTCTACTTTACGCTTTGTGTCCGCTGAGGACAGACAGAAGGAGGGAAAGACAGAACAAAAAAAAGATCATGTCACACATTTCTTGTTTAAAAATCAGACAATGGAAGATTTCACACAGCACCCATTCAATAAATCATTCAGTAAATGTCACAAAAATCGCACATTTGTATATACTCCTTTCACACATTATGTCCTGTCTCAGTATCCTGCTTCAACAGGAAATAACATTAAACTAATGAAGCTAGATTCTTTCCACACGCTGCGTCACAGTGACCTTCATTTTTATTAACTCACAGACTTGAGCCTTGACATAATCCATGTACTGTTGGGCACTTAGCGCTGGCTGGCACACGATACCCTGCGGCTTGGCGGTGGATGGTGGCCGCAGGAATGGATGCTGGCAGGTGCGACTGGTGTGAACTGTCAGCACATAGCGGCACGACTGAGGCTCATCCACTCGGGCGATGTAGTCCCCTGAGCCTTCTTCACACACAAACTGGAATTGTTAAGAGTAGAATGATTTAGGTGTGTGTATAAGGATAATTTGTACAACATGCAAACTTCTACTGACTTAACATTTGTTTGGAATAGCAAAACAGAAAACAAAAGTTAAAGAAAAAATAGACCAAACACAGGTAGCGTGGAAGTGTGTAATACAAAAACATCCACATTCAAATGTCTCACCCGGACTTCAGTCTCTCTAGGACTTCCATTTAGGTCACACTTTGAGCCATTTACATAGGTCTGACTGTGATAGCGCTTCAGTCTGTGCTGCTTGGAGGCCTGGGAAATGAAGGGGGAAAAATGTTTTTAAACCAAATGGATTTGTAATATTTTTCCACAAAGAGGCTCAGAACATCATCTAAATGTTAAATGTTAAACCTTTAATGATTCATATTACTATATATATATTCATATTATATTATCACCAAACACAGTCTTTTCCATTTTATGAAGTTAAACAATATATTAAATTTAGTACATTGTGTATTTTATAAAAAGTCATTTAAAATGTTCCCATTTGTACAGCAACTAATTTTCTCAAATACTAGAAACTGGTTTGTGTTTGCTGTAACAAATTAAATAAGTAGAGCTCAGCAAATTATATGGGCTACTAGCAATGACAAAAATGTATTATGTTTGTTTGGAAAACAGATAAAATTCACATTATTTCTGCTCTACATACAAAATTACACAGGGATTTATCCATCAAACAATGTAAAAATGTGACATGAACACCTGAAGCATTCTGTCAGTGCCCACTGCCACATACAACTACAATTGTGTAATTCCCATTTTCAGCTTCCTTTAAAGAACAGACCAAATTATAAAAACAAATAACTAATACCACAATACTGAGGAAACTTTACCTTTGCCGTTTCATTGCTCCAATCAAATTCAGATTCATAATAACCTAAGAAGAGAATGTCCCCTTTGATTTCTGTGTCTGAGGAGAGAAGAACATCATGTGTCAAAGACAGCTCATCTGTTAAAGTCATTGTCAAGGATAACAGTGGTTAAAACACAGAGGTGCACTTTTACCTTCAAGGTGGTACTGTCTGATATGCTGACCGTGGCAGAACTCATACGTCCACCAATCCTTCGTCTGCAGGAAACAAGAACAGCAAATGTTTCTATATAAAATACTGACACATTTTCATTTCATTAAGGCTACATATCATAGATCATCCTATTAGAATTCCAGCTGCTCAAAACAACTTATACACATATTGTTGTGTTTTTAAGTTAAGCCCAGTAGGAGACTTTAGTAAGACCTTAGAACAGACTAAGCCTATAATGTGTGAAAAAAATCAAGACACACATGACAAAAAACATACAAAATACTAAGAAAAGGGTCACAATATGCTAGGAAAAGCCCCACAATTCAAGCCTGGATAACAAAAAAATAAATTACAATTAGCTATTGAGAAACATCCTCTTTCTCCCTCCCTCTCCCTCT